ACAGCTGTTGGCGCTGAGCCAGGCCAAGCCACCATCGTGGGAGAGACCGGACATCCCCCATGAGCTGGAGGAAGAGGGGATGCAGGGCAGGAGTGAAGCATCGGGAGAAGAGGAGATGCGACAAGCCGTCTGTCTGTCATCATGGGATACGTGAGGTCTCTCCCTAACACAGAGCCGGCCCTAGCCATAGGCAGTATAGGCAAATGCTAAGGGCACTGACATCCATGGGGGACGCCACAAGCTTGCCAGGCTAACTGACATGTATTCAGACAAGTATTTATCAACAAGCGCCGATGCAGTTTCTCTACCTTTAGCAGCAAAGACGTTACATTAGCGTCTTAGCTGCTAACGTTCGGAGCAAAGACGTTACGTTAGCGTCTTAGCTGCTAACGTTAGCAGCTAAGACGTTGGCGAACCGTCTTCGCTAGCGTCTGAAGACGACGGTAGAGGACCTGCATTGGCGCTTGTGGTTAAGTATTTGCCTGAATACACGTCAGTTAGCCAGGGAGTGTCGCAAAGACTTGTTTCTTCAGTTTAATTTAGTGTGTTGTTTATACTTAAATAAAAGCTTGAATACATGCATACAGTTGTGCGCAAACTACAATCTTGCCTAGGGCACCAAATTGGTCAGGACCAGCCCTGCCCTAACAGATGGAAGAGCTAACAGCTAACAGCTAACAGCTAACAGCGCTGACCCGGCTGCAGTGGGAGCATCAGGAGTGCAGCCTCGTGTTGTTCACGGAGTCATGGCTGAACGAACTCACTCCGGACTCGATCGTAAGTTTGGACGGATTTCACCTGGTCAGAGTGGACCGGAGCTGGAGGGAGAGTGGTAAGAAGAAAGGCTGGGGACTCGCCATGTATGTGAATGAGAGATGGTGTAATGCTAGCATGTTAGCGTTTAACAGCAGGAAGGATGTTGACCTGCTGGTGGTTGGTTTTTACCTTCCGAGGGAGTTTTCCCATGCCCTGGCAGTTGCAGTTTCCATCCCCCCGTCGGCTGATGCTGCTGCAGCCTGTGAACTCATCCATAGCTCAGTGTCCCAGCTGCAAACATCACACCCTCAGCCTGTGATCGTCTTCTCAGGAGACTTTAATCATACATCGCTCTCTACCACGCTCCCCAGACTGCCCAACCGGAGACAGTGGGGCCTTGGACCTGCCGTGTGCCGACACAAGGATGCATATTACTTAATTATTGTTATTTTCTTCTACTTTCTATATTTTTGGATGCTGCTGTGGCGTGTACATTTGCCCCAAAAAAGCATTCTATTCTATTCTATTCTATTCTATTTTATTCTATTCTATTCTATTCTATTTTCTGTTCCCAACATGCAGCAGATTAGCCTCCTTCTTTCTAAGCCCAGCAGCTCTAAGATGTTGCTGGTGTCCACAGTGATGGTGTCCATGATCTTGACCACTGGGCCCATTTTATGCAAATCACTTGAGGCATCTTTTTTTCACAAGTCATTAGTCAGCTGCAGTATATTGCCACGAGAGACAGCGTCCAAACTGTGCTTCTTCTTCAGCCTCTGGTCAGTGTCCCCACACTGGCTTTCCAGCTGCACGTTGTGAACAGGAGTCATGTCAATATTCTGCAAACAGTGTAATACATGGAGAATAGAGGGTGTCATGAATGGTCATATGGTAACTTATTATTGTTTGTGGTCTATCAAGTAGCAAGTTTTCCCTTAAAATCTTGTAGACATTCACCAGTCAAATGAGTCCTTGATTGACAGTTTTGTGTTCACAGTCACCAGCCAGAAAAAAAAAGCTAAAATGTCTTTTTTTAATCTGTTTTTTTATGTAAAGAGGAATAAGAAGAACATAATCTTGCACCAAAACCTGTTTCATTCAAAGTAAAAAGCCTTTACTGGTGTAACTGTGGTGCTGCAAGAGAATTTCCAACACAGTTTACAGTTTGGTTTTCAGGGCAGGGAAACATCCCATCATCCCCTGCTGTTTGCATTCAGAGCTGTCTGTCCAAATGACATGGATGATCTGTGCACATGTTGTATGCATAAACACGCTCCATTTCCTGCAACACGGCGTGTTATCTCAGCGTTTCAGACGATCTGCCTGTGTGTAGTTTTATGGAGTTTTGTGGAATATATGTGCTGCTCAGCGAAGAACAAAACAACACGTCTCTGCAGGGGGGAGAGTGGAGAGGAGGGATGAAGAAGAGGCTGGGCCACAGAAGTGGGGAGGAGGAGGTGAAGCACTGAATTAAAGATGAGGAGAAATCAGTGTAAGAGGCACAGAGATCAGTGACTCTGAGTACAATCAAACTTAGAGAGCTCTAAGTGCCTTCAGAGCCACTTTGACAGCCAACATCAACAAGCAGTGTTTTTACATGTTCAATGTGTTTGATTTCTTACAGTTTTGATTTCAGTGCTTTGGGCTGTGTGCATCAGAGGGACGAGTGGTTCTGAAAGAGGCAACACACTAATTCCTCTGTACTCAGATGCTCAGGGATGGAAGGACATTTGGGAGGAAATCCTCCAACTGTGACAGAGGAGCAGCAGGAAGATCCAACAGGCTGAACTACGCTAATAAAGGACCGATGTTAATACAGCTTATCTGCGAGGAGCAAATATGGAGCTTCAGCTCAACGCTGCTCAGCGGGGAAAAGCCAATATCATCTCAAGTAGTCACTTGACAATTATTTGAAAAAAAAAAAACTTACAGAATGAGACGGTTTGTATGTTAGCATATTAACCGTAGTGCTGGAAAGGGCAGGAAGTAGGCTGAAGCTCTTTGTCTTGTCCTGATATGTGACATCTCACTTTATCTGCTCTCCAAAGTTGTGTCTCGAGCCAGTGCAAAATGGAATTCAACTTTCATAAAATGCACATTAAGTCTATTTTGACATGCAAAAATAGAACTACACAGATTGTGTACAAAGGGGTGTGTATAGTGTTTTGTCTTACGGAATGCTCCCATCTATGTACATAAAATTACCCTTGAACAGAGAAACTAATGATACTTCAACACACATCACAATAAATCTCTCGTTTTTTGAAACACGTCACGGTAACTCCTACAACAGCAAGACAAGCGAACCAGAAGATGAATGCAGCACTAAAAGCACATAAAGAAAACAAAGCAAGAGTCCTCATCACTCACTGGATTGACATTTATTTGCAGAAAGGAAATTCTCTAAAGCTGATTCAGCCTCTCTCTTCATGTTAAAGCTTGTATTGTCTTCTCTTTCTCATAGTAGCTGGAGCTGGGATGGTGACAAAACAGGTAACCAACAGATATCACCAGATGGACACAGTTGTCCAGCTTGGGTGATTAAACTTTACCCTCACATCTTGCTCCTCTTCATCCCTGTCAATGGTGAATGCAGCTACCACTCCATCATAAACACAAGCTGTTGGTGCCAATATTACATGTTCTGTCACCCATTTTAACCCCAACTCCTATGAGGACAGGAAGACAATACAAACTGGACATTAAGACCAAAAAGAGATACTGAGCTGACTTTTGAAAATGTTCACCTGTCTTGTTAGTGTAGTACTTGCCAAAATGTGTTTCAATAATCACGACCCTAAGAGCTTCAATAAAAAGCAGCTGGACTTCTCCTCTTTGGTTCTTGAAGCTACCTCCCATCTATGAAGCTTCTTCAGCCCTGAAGAGAAAAAACCTGTTGGATCCTCAGGTGTGGCATCAAAGGGCAATGATCAGACAGTGTGACAAGTACACAGCAGAGAAAGAACAATGTTGGGTGCTGGATGCTGGCAGGTCAGATAGGATCATAGCAAGACGTGAATGTTCACAACTCCATTATTTGTCGACTAAGAAATCATTTCAGACAGCATCTGCCACATGATGCTCTGGATGAACGTGTCTGACAACATGATCCTGTCCCCAGATATGTCCACCAACTTTGTCCTTCAAGAAGATTAGGACAACCTCAGTAGTGTGCCACAACTATGTGGCATGACGCAATGCAAATTGTGGACACGCTCATTACTGACTTGATGACTTGACTCTCAATCTGCCCTTCATCGTTTCCAACACAGTGCGCATTTGGTGGTTTCATGATGTCCGTTCTGTTGAAGATATGCCATGTTTAGAACAACCAAATACTCAATCTGCTGTGTTAAAAAGAATGCTTAGAATTTAGTATAATATTACATGTATTTTAAACATTTTTAGTCAGTATAGTTGGTTACATGTTTTACTCAGCACAAAACAAAAACATACTTGACACTTGTGGGTATTTGGTCATAAACTACTGTTGGTGGATGGTTGATGAGATATTTCACTCAAAATCACAAATGTCAATCCCATGATGACGCTAAAGGAAACGTGAGAGGGGTTTATTGTGTGGCAACCTTGAATCAATCCACTAGTTGTCGAGGTATCTTTAGGGATATCTGCTCATTTTAGCCAATACCTAGTCAATACCTACTTAAAGTGAATCATTTGCTGCAGCGCAGGGCAGCTGCAAAGTGTCAGATAACCGTAGACAATGCTGCCAAAGAACACGATCAATACTGCAAAAATGCAGAATGAACTCTTGAGCTTTTTTTTTTTTTCCATCTGACCTCTCCACTGAACCCGTAGTTGCAACCACACAATCATTTAGGTGGAGATACTCAACCAGAGTCAAACCTGTGCTTTTGTACAGGGTAGTAACATCTGTCGACAGTGTGTTTCAACAGTTTAACCCTAATAATGTTCTCCAGCATGTGCTGGTAAGAGCAACATGTGCCTCAAGTGTTTGCAACATCTGTCCTCCCTTGGCTAAACATCTGTTGAACAGCACATTTAGGCTAAATGTCGGTCAAAGTGGTCAAGAGCGTCTGGTGTCTGCTTCATATCTTGTATGGATTTTGGAGTTTTAAAGTGTTGAAATACTGAGAATGAACACACAGAGACACACACATGTTTGCAGGAATGTAATCCTTGTTGTAAGACTGAGTGGCGCTGATGAGCCCAGCTTGGTTAGTCACACATGCATGCACTGAAATTAAAAAAACAAGTCATGATACGATCATTCAGGATTTATTCCAGGAGAAAAGACAAACAAAACACAATCAGTCGCTCCGGCCTGTGTCGTCATGGTAACTCTGATATGTGCACATGATTGTCGAAGGCATCTGATATACAAGCCCCATAACAGAAAGTCATCATCATCATCACACCACAATAAGTGCGGCAGGCAGTGCCCGCTCTGAGACATAGTGTCGCCAAGGTGACGACGGTGCACAGGATGGGAGTTCTGTGGTCACATGCAGAGAGTAAATACAGCCGGCTAACTCAGCAGGCTCTGGACGAGGACACCCACAGGGAGACACCCGGGCCCAACAAGCAGCACGGACAGAGTTTCAGTTCTTCAGAAGCAGTTGGCGACAATTCATGGAGAAACCCCTTGCAATGTAAGGAAAACTACGTCCTTGTCAAGATCACATGATGCCTTCAAATGGGAGTCGGGTTCACTGTGTTTGTGGGAAAAGTCCACATGACCGCCAGACTCAGAAGTGGAAATGTTCTTAAAAGTTCTGATTACACTGGTTTTGATGTTTGCTGATGTTTTCTAATTGATGGAGGCTATACAAGTTCAGTTTTTAATAGATGGTAAGTCATACATTATAGTTCCATCTATTGAGAGTATTTCTTTGTAACTTTTAGTAATCTTTTCATTCTATCCTTTCATTTCCTACATAACCCTATATGCTTGTTAGCTTAAAAAGTGGCCTTTTGGTTTCCATTGCGGTGTTGGCAACCACAAAGTTTACTGCGAGTGTTCAACAACGACGAACTGTAGCTTCTGGACACAACTCCAGTTCTATGAGCGCGTAAGAACTAGAACGACGGAGGGTTTGTTATGTGATGAATCGTACATTGTCAATCGCAACGTTAGAGAAGACTGCTAGTCAATGAAGACATCAAGACGGCAGAAAAATGGCGGATGTTGTCCTCTCAGAGATTAATCAATTGGCTTTGGTCTTCTCTGAATTTAACGAATCAGCATTGAGATTGGCACAGCAAGGCTGTTCAGAAGTAGCTAACCAAGAGTAGGTACTTTTTCTATCGTAAAAGAGGTTTTATAGTGGCAGTTCTTGCAGTTGGAACGCAACTATACACAACTTTCCACGTTGTAATGACAAGCTCAGGAGTTCCATTTGAAGGGAGCAATAGACCATGAGATGTAGCTTAGCCAGCGTAAGCAAAATTAGCCGTGGCTTATCCCACTAAACAACTAGTCCATTTAAAATACATAACCATTACCTACAGGTGCTTTGCTTCATAGTCTTTGCCTTTATGGGATAAGACGGGTCATGACCCTATAATTTAGCTGTACAATCTATGTTAGCTACTTAGCCAAGCACTAGCCATAAAAGGCTACAGCTAGCTTGGGGGGCTACCGCAATAGATTTTAGGTTTAAAAATAAATAAAAAAGTCCTTAATAGTTATAGTTCTGATTAGCTTTTTGCCACATTTGCCTCCAGGAATGGTACTAGCTATGAGGCCATGTTAGCATCTTAGCGGCCACAGCTAGGAATGCAGGAAATCAACTCATACACAGCAAAAATCTAATACAAAATGCACTTCTCGAAATGTCATAACTGACAATGAATTAGTTTTTGTATTAATAAAATTCAGTACAATAAAAGCCTTAAGCTGCAATATCAGTAAATCCTGTTTGTACCATTAATTTATACAGTGAATCAGCAGACGTTCAAAGGCCTACAAGGACTTGACTTATAAGTAGCTTTAGTGTTCATAGTAATAAATACAGTACCATCTTGGAACAGTTTCTTTTAACACATCCATGCCTGCTAGCTAGTAATGAAGATTCTGCCTCTTTGTAAAACTGAAACTCTGCCACGCAGCTGTTTGAGGATTGGGGCATCTCCACCTGTGTACGTCTTTACATAATACAGAGATACTAACATCATACAAGGGCATATAAGATTATGCAAACACTCATGGTGAAATTGAAATTCTTGAAGCACTTTTTTCAACATGCTTGTGTTTTTTTTTTTCGTGACAGAGCACTTCAGCGGCGTCTTCGTTAAAAAAAAGGTCCGAGGAGGGTGAGCTCAAAAGGGGAAGTAGCGGGCGAGAGCGGGCCGTCGCTTCCCCTTACGTCCATAACAGTGTGTTTCTGAGCCGGTCACAGCTTTGGATTTCTTCCTTTAGAATGGCAAAAAACGTAAGCCTGAGTTCAGTAAACGATGCTTTCACTTGTAGTCGGACTGACACTGAAGTGGAGGTGGAACACTGATGGCATTGAACTGCGCTGAGCAGCTCTGCACTGGACAGTCAAAACGCTGCCGGACAGTTTTCTGAAAGCAGTCGGGGAGTAAAGGGGACTTTAGCTTTTTTTCTTGTTTTTTTTTTCCTCTTTTTTAATACATTAAACATTCCATAGAGAATACAATCAACTTCCCTCGACACACACTCGCTCACTCGCTCACTCACACATGCCTGAACAGCAAAACATTCGCAAATATTATCTTGAAAATGATCATTCATATTCACAGTCTATTTACAGTAGCGACTTTAACGTGGAAAGATCCGTTCGGATAACATGTAAAATCCGTCTCTTCAGCAAACGAAAACAGCAGACGTAAAAACCACAGAGGAGCATGAACCTGAAACCCTCTGCCTGCCTCACAGCACATTCGTAAACCCAAACGTCCAGACCGAGGTGGACGACATCACATTTAATGATTCTGACAGTGTTGGCTTCGTTAACATCTCTACCACCTCTACAGTGTAGCTCAGTCAGTAATAGTAACGCTAATAGGTCAGTGATTGAACTAGTCTTAGATGAGACAGACTTTCAGAGTTTGCACTTGCTGCTGATGTTTCCTTGGTGTTTCCTGATCACAATTTCAAGAAAAGCATTGACAACGCACTTAAAAATGTTTTAAAAAATGCATAGCAATCAATGGGTTTCAGTGAATAATCAGATTAAGGTGATCACTGGAATAAAGCCCTTACATGATTGAGAGTTTCCTTCAGCAAGTCTACATGGACTGACTTCAGAGTTGGTTAGTTTCCTCTCAGACAAACGTAACACAAGAGCCCACTGTAAAAACGTCAGGATATATATATAAATTTTCTGAAAGCTTAACTATGCGGTCATGCAGAGACATGTAGGTGCTGCAGTTCAGTAAGAAACACGTTTTTTCTATGACTGCTTTGACGCGCACATTTAAAATGAAATAAATCAGGCTAACTTTTGTTTTTTTTTTTTTACACACTATGTTCTACCCTATTTACTTAACTTAAAGCCTATTAAGACTGGATTTGTTGCGAGGACAATAAGCATAAAGAGTTTTCAGCCAATGGATCTGAAATCTGGTCTCCAAAAGAACAAAAAGCTCAACGTCAGCGGTGCCACCATACTGTCTGCAAAATTCAGGATTTATTCGCAAATAACCAAACGACAGTGAAGTGCATCGTGTGTGTGGAGTTCATGAATATGAATGAGTTCACTGCATATGAATAAGGTGTTCTGTTAAAGGACAATTCCAGCGGTTTTTCCAAAGTTACCCTTCCCTAAAAAGTGTATTCCAGCACTTTAACATTGCCCTTCCATAAAGCTATGGTGTTCCCAAGAAAGTGAAAAATTAAAAAACAGCCAAAGTTAAAAGTAGACGAAAGCAAGACAGCCTTTAGTCTCTAGCTTGTGTAAAGCTCCTAAAATGTTGGATCCTGTTTATCCCACACTGCAGCAGCATCTTTCACAAAGACTGTACAGAAAAGATGGATGTCGTTTAGGTCTGAGAAGTGAAGCCAATGTGGAAGTGACTTAAACCTGCATTCTTTCTAACAGCCAGCAGGGGGCGACTCCTCGGGTTGCAATTGTAAAGAAGTTGATGAGAAAATGACCCGACTTCTCAACTGATTTGTTACCCCAGTAAACATTCTTCTAATGAGTTTATCGTCTTAATCACTAGTTTTGAGTCGCCTTCCCTACAGCATGATAATCATTTTGAATATTATGGTCCCATATAGACAGTAAAGCTGGGTATGTTCCAGGGCCATATGAGCATCTGTAGAGTCCTCCAGTTCTCAGTCAGATCAGCCACTTTATCATGATGTCTATTTACAAAGGACCAAGATGGCAACAGTCAAAATTATGAACTCGATGCTTGCAATCAGTACTCCACAAACCAAATGGTGGCTACGTCCATCTTTTATGTACAGTCTGTAGTCTTTTAAGCAACAATACATTTCCCTCTTTCAAAGCAAAACCTTAAGCCACCTGCGTAAATCTTTCAGTAAACTATGTCCTAAGTCATTGCTGGATATTTACTATATTATTTAATATATCTTGTGGAAAAACAACCAATAAAATGTCTTCAACAGACAGGTCTGTTGATATTCCATAGTTTTCTTTTTGAGAACAATCTCAAGCAATACCAATAACACCCGATGAGCAGGTGTTTTCTGTGTATCCAAAACCTGATAGATCTTATTCATCGAAGCCACGAAACTAATTTTTTTTTCATCCAAAAACTCACAAATGAGCCACATTATTGGACCGGGTGAAATGTTCCTCCATTACTTCATGCTGACACAGTCTTGCATACACCATCCTGCTGCCGTAAATACTCTATCGAGCACCTAATGTGTATTGATCCGCTGCTGAAAATAGTGCCAGACGAACGCACGATTTACTTCTACTTGAGTAATAAAAACTACAATGCCAAGCTGAAAAATATTTTTGCTTTAAGAAGGTTGAGAAACAGATGAACAGTTGCTGGTTTTGGCCTTTTCATGGGACTACCTGACATTAACAACCATGTAGAATATTTTGGATTATGAACCCGTGTCCACGCTGCAATTGTAACTAACCACTGCTGTTAAAATGCTGCTGTTAACGACCAGAGATGCAGACAAGAGAGAGGAAGGAAACGAGTTTGGTTCACAAATGTCTCGTCATGATTTGTTTTAGTCAACTTTAGTCAACGACGCAGTGAGCCAACAGTGAGGTCCAGAAAGCTTCGGTGATTTACTGTCATTTTTACCTTAATGCCACACAGATTAAAACAAGCACTATGAATAATACTTTTTTAGCAGCACACTGCGTACATAAAAAAGGTAAATGGCAACAGATCAAGAATGGATCAAAAGTCGACAACTTTCTCTCCAGGTTAGTTTGCAGCTGGAGTTCAGCCCTTAGTCTCAGCTTGTGTCTTAAACAGCTTCACATCTGACTAGTTTTGTTGGAACTAATTCACAGATTAATGCAGAATGAACCAAATTGTCTTCAGAAGTCTTTGGTTACAATTCATAATAAAGGGATTGATAGAATTGCATCTAATAAACGTGAGACAATCTGATATGTGTGAGCGAGCACCCTGACGCTGTACAGTTCTGCTTTCTGAGTGTAAAAGGCCATTAGCATCAGCGGCACAATGGTCACGTTGGAATAAAGTTTAAATAGAGTTCCGTTAAGAACACGAAAAACGAGACAATCAGTGGAATAGTTAAATTAAACCTAGCTGAGCGGTTGAGAATGGGACACCAAGCTGTAGAGTTAGAGTTCAAGTTGTCCAGAACTACTTAGCCATCGATGGTCTAGTCTGAGCTGAGGTCTGAGTCCTCACTGCTCAAGTCACCACAACACTGCGATAAAGACACGGCTAACGTCCGGAGCCCTGGATCATTAACTGTGATGCCGCCTGGAACGCCTGGACCGTGACAGAACCTAAATAAACAAACGAAAAGTGGTGTTTGCCAGCGCACCGTGCAGCTGCAGTTTTCCCTGAGCACTTCTGGACTGGGTGCAGCTTGACAAAACGAGAAGGTGAGATCATGGCTTCGTTAGAGGGGGGAAGGAACGGCGGCAGGCAACAGCTTCTCCAGCTTGGATTGTGACTCTAAAGACCCACTTGGCAGGCTGATAAATATCTCATGTCTCTTTTAGTCATCCTAAATCTACATTGCGCTGCTTGTAGCTCCTTAGTTCGGGAAGTCAGATGGCAATCTATGTTGAATCGCCAACATTCTCAACTGGAGGCAGCTTTCCAGTAAATACACATATCCGTCTTCTCTATCCTAAACTCGCTGCATGTTTCGTAGTAACCAGTATGTGTGTCCCTTAAAGGGCGATTGTTATAAAAGTCTTATAAGGTAAGAAAATAATCAAATCAAACAACTTTCAGACAATAAACAAGTTGCACAATGCTCTGACATCCGTATAAAGGTTTACAATCTCTACTCTCTGTCTGATAAACACATGTGGATGGCAGCTAATCTGTGTGTGACAACGTATCTGACCCTCTCTGTGCAAAATAGATAAAAGCGCTTCCTCAGGTTTCCACATCTCAACAGTCATATGGTACTTTTAAAGCACTTCTTAAAGCACAAACAAACAGACGAACAAGCCCATTAAGGGTAACAGAAGATCTTAAAGGTGCTGTGTGCTGCATTTTTACAGGGATAACTCATTGCAACAATAAGCCGTAACATTAGTAAATTTTGTGTAAACAGCTGAGGTCACTGCGCAGAAGACTGTCGGCCTCTGTTGGGAATTTTAAAGTGAAAAGGTCACATTTGGAAGGAAATCCTCTTAATTCTACTAGAAGTCGTAAAAGGATCAGGATTCTGTTTCCCCAGAACAAACAGAGAGGAAACAGAGAAACTAAAGGACTCATGGGGCATTGGGTCTTAATTTAGAGAAACACTTTTATCACGCTGGATATACACTGTAACTGAGGTGACCTGTCATCTTTCAGCAGCCCTATGTGTTTACACTACTTGTACTAAAGCAGCACTATTGATCTGACAATGTTAAAAGTCACACACAGCACCTTTAAAATTTTACAGTAATAATAAAAAATAAAACAATCCAGTTGCCAACAGTCAAACCTAAGTTGGAAAAAGCTAAATAAAGTGGTGCAGGAAAGACCAGATTCAAGAGGGAAGTTGATGTTGACTGACACTCAATAATATGATACCACCAGCTCCACCGTGAACCACCAGCTGCTGCTGCTCGAACTCGGATCCACCCACTGATCAATAAACAGCCGAAGGGACAAACATCCTCGGTGAGTCAGTGGAGGTGCTGCTGGGATCCTACACGTCGTCCTGGTGGGTGGTGGGCGTACAGGATGGCAATGGTGGCTTGAGTCGGTGGGGTGGAGGTAAAGTCCTCTGCTCTCCCGGGAGCAGGGCGGGGTACCGGCTGGGAGGGTTGGGGGGGGTGGAGGGCGCATCCAAGAGGGAGTGCAGTGAAAAGAGGGAGGGACGAAGAAGATCCTCTTCCTCTCTGGTCGTCCTCCGTCTCTTTCCGTCTCTCTGCCTCACAGCGCTGTGGCCTCCCAGCTGGTTCCCCGCGGGACCTGGCGTCACTTGGTTTCCGTGAGCACCGGGGCGGGGACCGCCGAGGGATGTGGCCGGTTCAGCTCCGTCCCCGCGGCGGGAGAAGAGGCTGCGGACGCTAGACTGCAGGGAGTGACCGGTGCAGTGACACCTGGAAGAGAGGAGTCAGGATGGGTGGATCCTACTGACAGTTCTGTACTTACTACTGACAGTTTGATAAATCATTGTCCCCAATCGTTTCTGTTCTTACACCTTCTGGTTTTGACTCAGTGCAGTCAATACTGATAGTGGTGGCACATCTACCACTCAAAATTCATTGTCATCTTTTAAAGAAAGACTGATAAAATGGATAAACCGTCTGTGACAATAGCCACAGGTTTCCTAAAGACTGGTTCTGAACCTCAGTGTGGTGGCTCCAACCGTCACCATCCTGGCAGCAACTGATTAAGAAATCTGCAACATGAACATGGCACCCACCTGTAACCTATTAATGCGGACCCCACGCTGCTGCACAGCCCCCTGCAGTTTTGCTTTACCATTCCCACTATAGTGCCGTACGCACCACTCACATATGTTCTTTAGCTTCCTGCTGCCACTGACGTTACTGACTCATACTCACATTCCTTACGGGGAGCTGCTATGTTGTTGTCTATGGAAGCGTTTTTGCTGGCGGCGGTGTTGGTGCTCTGGCTCTGTGCTGCCTGGCCCGTGTTTTGGCTCTGAGCTGGCTGGTTCTGGCCCGCCGGGTTCTGGCTTTGGCCCGGCTTCTGTGTTTGACTCGGCCTAGTCAGTGGGTTGGAGGCGTCCATGCTGCTCCCCATGCTGCTGCCAAGCTGCAGCCGTCTCATGTGCCGAACCACGGCGGTGGCATTGAACGCTTGCTGAGGAGAGGAAGGAAACAGGAAGATGTGAAAAACTAAAATCATATTATTTGTATCTTTTGTTAAACAGGGATGTTTTTTGTGATGTAACAGTGAGAGATCATTGAAAAATCTAAGTTAACTGGATATCAGTTAGAGGGAGAGGCAGCAAAAATAGAAGTGTTTAACGTTTTCTGATGGTTTTGTTATTGAACACAATGTGTCACAGGCAGATTTAATATATATTATGCAACTAAATAGATCCATAATATTTCATAGGGAATTTGAAGTTGTGGAAAGTAGAAACTTTTTCATGTTGGCTGATTATTCCCCCTTCTTTTAAAGGCTTTAAGGGGAGCGTGCATGGTGAGGGGTAGCTCCTGACCACATGGTGGGCCAGGTTTTACTGCCCAGTGATTCACCTTCTAAAAACACAGACATCATTTAAGGAGCTGTAATAGAGCAATACAGTCTGCTGCAGTCGAGCCAAAACCACAGAGAATGAAATGCAGTAAACAAAATTTACCCTCCATTTGCTCTTGGCGAAGTTCTTTCTGATCTGCCGGCTGACTGACTCATGAATGTTCTTGCAGAGAGCCGTATCCCCAGCGATCCTAATATAAATATACATGCACGCACACACACACACACACACACACACACACACACACACACACACACACACACACACACACACAGACATGCACAAACTCTCTGTCAACACTTGTGACTGTAAATCAATATCTATATTGATTTGATTCCTATTTGCGATGCCTTCTTTAGACATTGTGCGGACGTGTGTGCTTCTCACCAGGGATGTCTGAGTGCCTGTTCGCAGGTGAAACGCTTGGCTGGATCTTTTTCCATCAGACTGCTGATGAAATCCTTGGCTGGGAGAAAAAAAAAAAAAACACAAACGTCAGAAAGGCTAAAAATTGTCAATAACAGTGGACACACAAGCACCGTTTTGTACTGACTTTAAACAACAGTTTGGAAACAATTCTTGGTCACTCAGAAAAGCATCTTGTGACACAAATAACGCCGACAATCTGTGACGTTAGAGTTTCACCATTTGTCACATGCCATTCCCAGTTTCACTCCTGCGTTTCATGTCCTTCTGTCTCTTTGTAAATGCAAAGACAATATGTGTGCTAATCTGTGCTCATGCCTACCTGCATGAAGTACCAGAATATGCTGCTGAAACCTGGTATCTGAGACATAATCGCTCCAAAGTCTGCAGCCAGGCGAGCAGCTCTATCCGGTGAAGGTGCAAGGCAGTGCTTTGTGCTAAATGCTAATGTCAGCGTAATGTTTGCCATCTCAGTTCAGATTGTAAACACTTGCTAGTACACAACGTACAGCTGAGTATGATGGAGATATCGTTCGGTTTTGCAGGAATTTGGTCTTAAAAGAATTGGACAAATTGAAATGCTGACTGTCAATAATAATGACTGTGTTATTGTTATTATTATTATATGAATTTAAATACAGTGGATGATGAATGGATGTCTATATTTTACTGAGAACCACACATGTCAACCTCCTGGGGATGCCAGATGATCTCTAAGTCAGCAAAATATACTGTCTGGGAACCATGAACATCTGCACCAAATGTCTCGTTAATCCATCCTCAAAATTCTGAGATATTTCAGGTCTCCAGACATCCGAGCCACAATGCTAGCGAAGCTCTGAGTTTGGGTTTTGAAGGGTTACAGCAATTGAAAGTGTCATAACAGAACTACAAGCTCAGTCAAGGTGAAACATGACCCCAAACTGGCCCCCAAATCACTCCAAATTGGATTTATGAGGCTCTTACAAAAGAGCAAAAAGCTGCAAAAATGTAAGTACAAGCTGCCTGGTGCTGATTTAGGTGATTTCTGTTTGTTCTGAGGAAACCTGACAGTTCTGAAAAAAATAAGTCTGTATCTGACAGCAATGTTATTTTATCCCTTTCTACTTACACACTAAACTGGGATCGCAGACGGGTCTCCAGCCAACCCAAAGCTGGTTTCACTGCCAGGTTTGTGTTGGTGACGAACACACAGACACACATATTTATTCATTCCAGGCAGATGAGGTCAGAGGCTGTGATGGAGAGGTGGTGTGTGGCCCATATGTGGCACATGGTGGACAGAGGAGGAGGAGGACGGCTCACCTGAGTCCGATATGTCGTCCCAGTACGGTGCATCAAACTCGTAGTCGGCTTTCAGGATCTGCTCGAACAGCTTGGAGTCGTTTTCATCGTAGAACGGAGGATAACCACAGAGCCTGCAGACAAGAAGGTCACTCTGTCATTCATAGGTTCAATCAGTCATTTAATCATTCATTCAGGGTTGAAATGATCAGTTGGGTAATTTCTGAGGGAAACTGACAGTTGCAGTCCTGCATTCATTTTCCCCACTGTGATGAATCCACTGACTTCTTGTAGAAACACACTGTGACCATAACTGATGATAAAAGTTTGGGTTGGACCCGACAGATGCCAGTTGCACAAGACATCAGTTTGATCATTACACACATCAGTCGGAAAGTGGTTTATTTACAAATCTGACAAATATTCTGATATTATTTTCATCCAGGGTTAGCAGTAACAACTTATAATCACTCTTGTTACTGTAATTATTTTCTATCTTTTCAATTCTGTAACTCCACTCTCACACAAGCATGGATTACACAAAAATTTAAAAGCTGAGAACCTTTCAGCAAAATCAAAATGGTTCACCTATGAGATGTGTGCAGGTCCAAAGAGACATCTTTAGCCTAGGGTATGTTTATCTGACAATGGACTAGAACCAAGTATGACTGTCCTGCACAATGCCATCTAAAGGACTCTGAGACACAAGGAAAAGGATTCTCTTGCCTGATATGGCTGACTTTATTTCCAACATATTTTTTTTCATTGCTGTCTTCTTGTTTTTGTCTTTTCGATATATTCAGCTCCCACATGCTCCTTTTGTATTTTTTATGTCTTATCTGGTTGTTTCACCTCATTATGGCTGTTGTACTATACTGAAAATACAACCATAGTAACTAGAACTGAGCATGTAAAGCAAGCATCTTTCAACATGTTCTACCAGGGGAACATGCCCCTGAACCTCCCCTAACTGTGAAAGGATTTCTCCCTCCACACCATGTTCACATCTTGTTCACACTTTACCTGTTTGCATTTCTGAAAATTATAATGTACCACTCAGTCTGTCTACAATTTGAAGTCTGAATTAAAATCTAAACCTTTTTATCACATACAGGCTAAAACAAACCACATGCATGTTTGTTTGTAACACCAGTAGCTTCACATGTAGCTGAGCAACATTTCGGTGCTCTTCAGACCACTGACTTCAACACAACCTCTGTGGACATTTTCTACTCTAGTCTGTCCTTCAGTGCTTCGGTGACTGACGTAGTCCTGCTTTGCACACATGACAGAGCTCCTGTTAACATGTGAGATCTCTTAAACCACATCAGCCCCATGATGAACACAGAATATCATTATTCCTACAATGCCCAGGACATCTCTGGATGTAAGGGCTTTAAGTGTAAGTTTGCTAACAGTGTCACATCCTGTGGCTACAGCCCTGGACCATCTCATTCTGGTCACAGCAGTGTTTAATGTCCCTTTACTCTGTGAGCAGTAGTTGGCTGTATCACCTTAATCACGTTAACACGAGATTACTGGTACCCAGCGCTGGTGAGCACAAATTAACTCAAGTCCCAGTCTGACTCTCTGTAATGAGCCGACTAAACCAACAGCAGAGCTGCTGCTCCTCAACCAAAAACATCATCTGCACCTCATTACCGCCAAGTTCTGGATGCACCCAGAGATTTTCATAAAAACTCATTAAAATGCCGTTCTCCATCGATACACACCGAAAAAAAGGAGCAAAAGCAGAACACACCGGGAGCAAAGGAAGGAGGACTGTGCCTGCCGTGAGGAAACAAAGGCTTTCTGATTGTTTTGCTGCTTTCTCATTTGCTTAAAGAGTCACCTGCCACACAGTTAACCCTCACTCCATCGAACACACACACACACACACACACACCGGGACAGAGTGAAAGAGTGATAAAGGAAAAGACAGTCACCCGCCTTCTGTCTACTGAACACACACATACACACACACACACACACTCAGGTTTCTGGGTGATTATCATGGTTGATTACCTGATGTGATCTTTCCACCTGAGCGGCGGCTAAAAGCTAACAAGGTCTGAATCCCAACGCTAATTGTGCTAATTGTCAGTGGGGAGTCGCCCGTTGTCTCTCTCTGCAAGCACGCATGCAGTGACACACACACACACAGATTCACTTTCTCCACTGCGCTGCTGCCAGCTGCACCAAAACCTCATTTTACTCACTTGTATAGAAAAAAGCTTAACTTTAAACGACACACCAACACTTTGCACACTTCTGACACACAAACACACCAGTCTACACACAGAGGGGAGGGAGAGGGAGAGACAGAGGGTCATATACATTCACTCAGGTCACTTCAAACATGTTGGATACACAAAACTTTGTGAAATGTGTGTGTGCCCTCGTCTCTGCTAACCCCAACGCTCTGCAGCCCATTAACCTGCTGCTGACCTCTGATCCCTCATCTGATCCCCAGTGAGGAAAATAATGTCTGTCAGGTGGCGCACACACACATAAACCCAGACCCAGATACAGAAAACACCTCCAAACAACTAAAGTGGGAGCACTGACAGCACTGTACACACACTTGGGCCCCTTATAAACCAAAAGAGGTCAGACATTGTTGGCATTGTTCACACACTCTTAAGCACGTGCACTTATGCATACACAGTGGAGAGAGTCGAGGGTGACGCAGCAGAAGAAAAACAAAAAGCAGAGAAAATGAAATCGAGCCTCCAGCTCCATGTCCATACAAGGCCACTCAGCAGAGCTCCATCTGGCTCCGATGACGGCACACGAGCAGCAGCATCATCCTCATCATCTCATACAACACACACACACACACGGGGGTAAAATTAACAAACACACACACACACACACACACACGCACCCAAAACAACGACCGCTGCAGTGCTCCATGAGCTGTTACAGCAGACGATAGTGAACAACAAATCACGGCTAACTGGTTTAGGGGAAATGTGACGGTGCTTTGACATGATGTAGTGTGTTCTGAGTTTGTAATACATCACAGCTCCAACAGCGGTTTTGTGTGTGTGTGTGTGTGTGTACAAGCTAAGATGGATGTGAGTCATTTTGTGTGATGTGTGTGTCTGGCTTTTATATTCACTGGCGTTGTAGCGGTGTTACCAGAAATTATATGATGCCGATGTGAATCATATACTGGCTTAAAAATACATTATCCAGTTGAAGCTGTGTTGATTTTGTGGTTCACACAAAGCTGAGCCAGATGTCTGACACAGTCAATTAATAGAAAGCCAGTGATAAGATCTGAGATGGTGTCCTCCTACTGAAAGTAGACAGTTGTTGGGCTGAACAATAACTGACTTCTAATGATTTGAAACAGTTCAATGAACAAATGATAAAGGCTGTAGCTTAGACTATACATTATGTGGTGGATCTCACCTGAGCTTTACTTGTCATGTGTGACACTTGATGTTATCTCATGTTCTAAAGCTCAATCACATGTTTGAAATTGATCACACATGGAATTCAAATGAAGCAGGACTTTAAAAAGATATCACAAATTAAAATGCAGTATCTGTCTGAAAAATTGGCATCAGACACTTTCCCCGACTTGTTCAGCCCTCGTCAGTAGTGCAATTAAAGATGAGACAGGCACATCTACAGAACAATCCAACTGAATTAAATCACAAAGGCAACATGTAAGGAAACAGAAAAACTGAGTTTTGATGTGAAAACACGAGTCAGATTCACTAGAAATGTGTCGCTGTAGGAAAGGCACAAGTCATACACAACTCAGAAAACATCACTGAAGCAGTCACATATCCAGATATATTGATGTCTTTAAAGTCCCTGCAGAACCAGGCAAGTGTTTCCACTTGTTCTGGCAGTTCAGACTTCTGCTCAGGTTACACAAAGGGAAGAACAAACCTTTTCACAGCAGATATTTTGCCTTTGAAAACCAAAGATATTACTAATAGCATTAATGACAGTCCTGTTCTATTTAGAGTGACACAGCCACAGCAGCAAAACCACTGACAGGTGAGCTGAACAACACTCATCATCTTGTTCCAGTCCAGTGTTCTGCTGGGAAATCTTTGGTCCTGGCATTCACGTGGATGTTACTGTGACGTGTAGCACCAACCTAAACGCTGTTGCAGACCTAGCACACCTTTCAATGGCAAAGGCTCTCCCATCCCACAACCCAAAAGATCCAAAGGCTCAGTTGCCAACATCCCCATACCAGACACCACAGGAGACCCTCAGAGGGCTCACGTTCCTGCCCTAAAGGGACAGAGCTGATATAGCTACATAAAGGACCTACACAATGTTAGGATGGTGGTTTTATTGTTGTTGCTAAATCGGCCTAAAGCTGACTGTGAGCCAACATCCACAACACCAGGGAGAAGCATCTAATGTAGCTACACTGGATTCAGCCATCATTCATTTAATACTGACACCCATGCTTTTCTTATGGTGACACATCCCAATGTTGTTTGTTTGAAAGGTTGACTTTCTTCAAGTCCCTAAACTTCCAGAACCAATAAGAATGGTAGCTGTCACACTGACAAGTAGCACGAGGAGGATGTCAGGTAACCCTCTGAAACCTAAACAAACTGTTTTTTACTCCTGTCTCATTCTTAGTTAGTACTTTCACATGCATTGTTCAGCAGTTTCCCTGAGGTTTCCACCAAAGGGATCAATAAGTTCTATTCTATTCTATTCTATTCTATTTTTACTCACTATGGGTTCATTTTCCTGCACCTGTATGGAAACAGCACAACCAGGGCTAGAGGTAGAGAGAACTCAGAATGTATTTTGTGCAGTATGTCACAGTTAGAATTCCATACATCACAGAAAAAAAGAAAAAACAAAAGTTGAATTTGTTCTTTCCTCACATCAACAACCTGGAATCAACACGTACAACATGTTACCCATGGATGTTACCAAGACAAGAAGAAGTGGTGGTTTCTATATACTGCAGAGCTTGAACTACTTATATTTGTGATGTGTTTCTATACTTGTGTCCTATCTGCTCCGTATAAACACAGCTTGCAACTCATCCAGAAAGTCCCTGATTTTTTGCCACCTACCAGCTGACTCACTCAGCAGATCATTTTTTGTGTATTTACAGAATCCCGTTAAGGCAAATGGTATATTTATGGCAGAAGTCCAAACTGAGCCAGTAAACATTTTTTGTGACATATTTCCCACAGTGATGATGCTTTCACACCTCATGTGGTATAAATGGCATCAAGAATGCAGATTCCCCAACTTGATGATGTGACATAAGGTGCTATCGCTGTGGTTCATGGTGAGAAACTCTTGTAAACTGTGAAACCAACTGCAACTGTGGTGATGTCAGTCAGACTGCTTGAATAACACCACTTGGTGCACAGTGTGATGTAATGCGAAAGAGACGAGCTGGTACTCACAGGATGTAGGCGATCACCCCGATGGACCAGCAGTCCACGGCTTTGCTGTAGGGCTTCTGGGCGAGAACCTCTGGAGCTGAGAGACACAGAGACAGTTGGTTAAAGAGAGAGTTGGCTATTAATGTACCTCAGTTTTTGCAGTAGCCTGCTAGTAAACCTAACTACACTGAAACCTGGCCTGTGTTTTTGCTTTCTTTTCAGCTTGAGGCCCAGTAAAAAGTGTTTTATGTGAGCATGTAGCTGTTTAATGAGGCTGAATACAGAGAAAATGTGCAGACTCTCCATCGCTATCAAAATTAAAATCACATGGCACGTTGGTTAGTGGTGGGAAATCTTGTGCACCAGGTACAGATTCTCACATCTCCAGAGAGTTATAACCTGACACGAAAAGGACCCGAAACCATTTAACCCAAGTTATTTTTCCTGTACTTCCAAAATGAAGCTAACTGCTAGTTAGCCTCAGACCCATTTCCTGTGTTGTGGCTGATTGTAAGGGAGACTGGCCCGGCCTGACCTTCCTCTGCAGCTCATTACCGAAGGCCCCGGACAGAGCAAATTACTGATGACAGTGAGCTCACCATAACATCACCTCACACAAAACCGCCTCAAAATAGATTTGGCACGCTTACACACACACACACACACACAGAGCCAGGGATGAAGAAATACTTGACATTTCTGGGGTAAAATGTAAACTTTGCACACTTGCGCTGAACCAGAGTGCTTAAGTCTGTTTATTGGTCTGCTGTGACTCAGGGTGAAGGTGTGTGTGTGTTCTTGTTTTGCTGGATTTAGAATTAGGACATTTTTAAACACTGAAGTCATTGTGTCTGCTGCTACTTCCAAAACTGAATTCAGAGTCAAATATGTTGCATAGGTCCCACAGTGTACAGTCATTTTTAATCATTTAACTACATTTTTACTGGTAAAATCTTGGCCTTTCTATTCTGTATGTCTTTTGATTTAGCTTGGTGGGATTTCACCAAGGGCTGCAAGGTCGCTTGGTGGTTGCCTCGCAGTTTGAAGGTCGCCGGTTCGCGTCCCGTGAGGACACCCGGGATCTTTGCATGTTCTCCCCGTGCAGCGTGGATTCTCTCCGGGTTCTCTGGCTTCCTCCCACACAGTCCAAAAACATGTTGAGGTTAATTGGTGATTCTAAATTGTCCGTAGGTGTGAATGTGAGTGTGCTTGGTTGTCTGTCTCTAAGTGTAGCCCTGTGATAGACTGGTGACCTGTCCAGGTGAACCTGCCTTCACCCTGAGTCAGCTGGGATAGACTCCAGCCCCCCATGACCCTAGTGAGGATTAAGCGGTGTATAGATGATGGATGGATCTCACCAAGTTTGGATGCATGTTGGGGAAGTATTAGACTCTCAGCTCATGATACCTACTCAGTCCCAGACACATTTAACAGTCGATCTGCAGCCTCTGACTACACGTCGCATTTAATTTCTGCCGGAGGATTATAGGAAAGTAACTTTTAACATTTTATTTGTGTAATAAAAGTAAGGAAAAAAGTCAATGTGCTGTTCTCATGCTTATCTGGTTTTCATTCTTCAGTTATTTATACTTTGGTTATATTTAGGTACAAATAGTCTGGAGTGGAAATGCCCCACAGCCCAGTAAAGCTCTGCAGGAGAGCAAAGAGGAGGGAGTCAGGGGTGAAGGAGTAGATGGATGAGAGCAGTAAAGAGAGAGGAGAGGGGAATACAAGCACTGTTTGTATTAGGTACTGACTAATACAAGTAAAATCCTGACTGATGAAGTTCTTCCTCGTCTTTTGATTGCTCCTCTGTATGTTTTTGGATCGTTGGTATTTGAAGTTTCATAAAAGCCTAATTTCAGAGGTATTACATCAAAATCAGTGGGTTTGTGAGGGGCTGGTAAAAAAATGTAAAACCTTTAAGAATTCAGAACTGTTACACAACATGAGGGCCAGCTGGGTTGGCTAAAGCTGGCCCGACGGGTTGAAATCAGAATTATAAGCACTGCTGTGTTCCTGTCTGTCTGCATTTCTTTGACAGACGTGTTTATGTGAGAGTTTGAATGATGTTTGTCAGAAGCACAGGCAGAGCCACCGTTCTGGTGCTCAAACACAGAAGTGTGTGTTCTGTTACTGAACATCTGTCTCCCATAACAACACACACACACACCGAAATGCTCACACACAAGCAGATGAACTCAAATGCACACGGAAATTCACGCAAAACCTCAAATACAGTATGTACGTATACATGCACGCAGGACCGCACACACCCCCACACAGCAGCACTCTGCAGAAGGGACTTGTCTGTCAGGGAGTGATAAGAGCGACTGGTGTGTGTGTGAATGTAAGGTGCGCACACACACACACACACACACACACACACACACACACACACACACACACACACACACACACACACACACACGGTGCTCCAGATGACATGAAATGAACAAAGATGAAACATAAATGGTGTCAGATGGGAACAACATGAGCTCATTGAAGTTTTCGGCTCGGCTCGTATTTACTCCACCACGGAAGGACAGAATGAAATAAAGATAAGAGATTGTGAGCGTTGATGGAGAACGAAATCAGTTGAGCTTAGTTTTAAAGCCTTTTCAAAAACAAAAACAGACTAAAAGTAAGGAATGGTCTGTTTTCTACAGTAGCACCCTGGAGGTATTTAAACCTGCAGGGCGAACTTCTGTCTCCCCCTTCTGGCAGTGACAGTAATTACTCAAACACCGCTTATGTCTTGATGTTGATTGTTTTCTTTTTTTTTAATTACAATGCTTTCTCATGAGGAGCTTTTCTTGGATGCCTCCTATGTTGATCTCCAGAGGAAGCTTCATAGCCTCCTCCATACTCCTAGCTGCTCTAATCTACTCTGTCGCTACGACGCTCTCCTCTTCAGCACTGGCATTAAGTTATAATGCACCATCCCAGGAATGCCACCTCAGAAATCAGCTTTAAAAGCCCAGTACAGCGCGACATACAGAGATATTTACCTGGCTCTGATAGGCTTCATCAGCATTGTGGTAACTTGCATGGCAAAGTTATTTGTATGTGAAAGTCCCACACTCCTGGTTTAAAGGGATGAGGAGCATTTTACACTTCAGTATTTTGTCAGATTACAGGTGCTGTTAAGCGAAGCCTTGTTCACAGTAACTCATCTACTGTGTTGTAGGAGCCAGTCCTGGATGCTGTCAGAGTTTCTTCAGTGCTTTATGGAATACGGAGACGTTCAAACTCAATCGATCCCAGATAGCACTATGGTCGGAAACGTGGGCTTTCCTCTTGTTAAGTTAAAGATGAAAACACATTGTTTGAAAACAGAAACATGTCTAACTCTAAAGTTCTTGTCCTCCCTGTTCACATATTGAAGCTAATCAGAAAAACAAGGCTGCGTTAGAGTGAAATGCACGGATCAGCCACAACATTAAAAACAGGTCAAGTTTGCACTGCAGCTTTAGTGTCAGTGATTTAGCACAATATCATGCAGGTGGCCATTGTGTGCCTATGTAAAATGTTTTTGCAAAGTTTAAAAATGAGTTAGATCTAAACACAAAAACGACAGCTGGAGACAGTATTTTCAACCAACGTCTCGAGCTCATGTTCCTTTGATTAGCCAAGTAGCTAAAGCAGATAAAATCTTCCATCAGTGTTTGTGAGTGAGGTTCATGTTAGAGTCTCTCTACCCTTTTCCCCCCCTCTACTTTTTCTACAGTGATTTGAACCAAAGACCCACTGACTCAAAAATGACTTTTCAGTGGCAAATCTGCAACCATTGTCATCAAATACTGCTTGTGGTTTGCGGGCTGGAAAGTCTGGTCGGAGTTAGAACTAAGATGGTAAATGGTGACATATTTAGGGGAAAAGATAAATAAGTGGAGGAAAGATTAGACTGTTGGAGGTAGGAAAGTCTGACTTTCTTACCCACGTATCCCGGTGTGCCGCAGGCGGTGGACATAACGTCACCGCTGCCCTCCATCTTGGAAAGACCGAAGTCACTGATCATGATTTTGGACTCGTCTTGAGGATTGAAATACAACAAGTTCTCTGGCTGCGGAAAGAAAGACACAGAGAATGAAGCGCTTCCATCACATTTCTGACTTTCTTATGGGTTATGATTTATTATTCTGGTCAAGGTCAGAGTTTCAAGACAGAAGAAAATGCACCTTTAAAAACAGTAAAACCTTCCTTTCATCCTCATTTTACACAGCACTGGTTTATGGAGATCACTCTGACCAATCGCGTTTCTTCCAACAGCCGGCACACGCCACCATGACCCACAATGCAACGTGTCAGGCCACTGCCCTTATTGCAGCAGTAAATCATTGGCTGTCAGGTGGGAACTCGTGTGGATTTAAAATGTGGGAGAAGAGTGTGTGTGTGTGTAGTAAGGCCTCGGTGAAGAAGCAGGGAAGAGGTGTGTGTGTGTGTGTGTTACCTTCAGGTCTCGGTGTACGATCCCCATCTTGTGCAGGTAGTTAACGGCATCCAGGACTTGCCGGATCAGCGTGCTCGCATCCTTCTCCGTGTAGAAACCTTTTTCCACAATTCGGTCGAACAGCTCGCCGCCAGACACCCTGCGGGGTTGAACGAAAAGAGTGTGTCAAAAACATTAAAATGCACATGTGTCCATTCACACACACACACACACACACGGCAGTAACTGGTAACAGGCTGAGGAGGGAGGGAGGGGAGGGTTGCTGGGTCGAGATTTCTGGTAATTTATGAGCTGCAGATGTTTCCAGCCAAGTGTGTGGAAGCTGTGAGCCATGTGCTACCTCACATACAAACACACACACACACACACACCTATACCCGGCAGCACTGACTGTGTCTTATAATGTGTGCATGTGTTAAAAGTGGAAAACACACTTTTCTCATCCCTTATACTGATTCACAACTGATGCTACTCATTTTTAAAATCCTCTTTCACTTCTCAGACGGAAATCAGAGGAAGAAGAGGCAGAAAAAAAATATGTGTGTGTATTTGTCAGCTTCAAGACTGAAAATATTTCACATTTTAGTGCAGCAGCAGATGATTACAGACACGTCCCAAACTTGCAGCATACAGCTTTACCGATCTAATCCTACAATACGTTTGCTGTTTTTGGAAATAAATCAAATTCCAAAAATATCAGAGCAGTCAAAAAATTGGAAGAAAAGTCTTCAAGATCATTTTAAATCAAAACACAACTAGGTTAAACATCAATGTAAAAATGAGTTTTTTAAAAAGAGGTTAAAGGTAGTAAAATATCCTCAGATATCTACAGTGCAGCTCTGTGTGTGCAGACAGAATGAGGTACTGACAAAAAAAAAAAAAATCACATTTGACTCAAGAAAAACACTTAAAGAAGTTAATCTGCAAATTTCTCCCCTCTGGCAGATTCTTTCAATAGCTACTTTTATGTTTTATGACGCCAGACCACATGAAATAACTTGTCCAGGAACACACAGCATACAGCTTATTAAGGTGAAAGCTAGCTAATCACACAGCAGACACACAGCGCCCCCTGCTGGAGCCTAACCTTCACCTTCACCTCACAGCAGAATCTAACATACATGTTTGCATGTTCATGTGGATGGTTTACAACACAGGCTGCAAGTAGCATGTGGGTAGCAAGCATTAATAGTAACGCTACTAGTAAAAATATTTAGAATATTAGTAGTAACACAAGTATTAACAGTAACCAGCCTTGTAGTTTCTACTGTATACAGCATGTTTATACTTCATGCTTTAAACAGTTGTGAAGGACAAACTCAAGTACACACGACCATGAACGTGCACCAGCGTCCATAAACACAAACGACGCAACAGACACGTAAGTATTCACAAGGGCAAACACACGCGCACACAGTCGCCCGGTGTGACTGTGGGGCGTCGTCACGGCGACAGATCAGATTAGAGCCCGTGGAAGTTAAACTCTAATGAAGTTTCTGAAAAAAGAGATCAGAATTAATTGCTAATCCTCTCTCCCTCTCTCTTCAAAGAGGGCAGCGACTCGTTCAGTTTCAGAGGAAGTCATGTCTGGGAATGACAAGAAAGGGCTAAATACACGCACACACACACACACACACACACACACACACACACACACACACACGCACGGCAAACGGGAGATCAGCCACCAGGCTGCATGGTTGCATAAGCGTTTGCGTAAGGAGACCATGGCAATCAGACAGGAGCTCCCACACAAGAACACACACAAGCGCAGATATACAGATGCAAGGGCACGACCACAAACACACACACACACAAGATAAAAACATAAAAAGGCAAATGCATACGCACGATCAAAGACACGCACGAAACACACAAAGACACAAGGTCACACACATCAAAGGCCAACACATGCAGTGCGCACCCAATTAACACAACGTCACACATATTCACCCGTAAACATTCAGCAGCATGAAGCTGGCCAAACGGCCAGTTTCTCATCTGATAAATCCCAATAAACTCAATTTATTATAGATGTATTGTTGTTATATGCAACAGAAGATCTAACAGCGAGGAGGCCAAAGATCGCAGCACCTGACAACAGCGTACCCCGCTGTGTTGGATATCAGTGGAGCTGACAGTATTTCATCTATTAAAAAAATAAATAATCTGCACCACCTGCTGTTGTTTATCAGCTGCTAGAGGTTCAGCGTCATATTGCAGCCTCATGTGGCCTTCGCTCCATTAAAGCAGGATTTCCCAGCTGGAGCAGGCAGCGACAGCGCCCTCACTCACCTGGAAGTTCTGTTCCGGCTGTTAGATCTGCTCATGAAGTGCGGTGATCTTAACTCGTCATACAGCACACTTAGCAGTAATGACAGAATCTAAAGAAACTCAACACATTCATGAAATGTATTTTTTTTTAAATTCCTGGCTAAACTTCAATTTGTCGAGAAGCCTGCACTGTTCACAGTCACAATACAACCCTAGTTTGTGATTATTTGCGATAGATGGATCAGTGGTTTGGTCAATCATCAGATCAGGTATTTAGTATTTTTCTGATTACCAATATGGTTTTGGCTCTGATGCAGCCGCCTCTCTCTATCTCTTGTTCCTCAGTGATCTCAGTGATAGTTAAACACCATGAGGAATAGCCTGTCAGCACTGAGGGATAGATGTTATAAAGTCCTCTATTAAATAAAAAAGGTAAACATTATTTTTAAAAAAGAAGTAAGTTTCGAAACCAAGACTGTCATTTTTGCTGCAAATGTGTGTCTGTTCCATTGTGACGCCTGCCATTGGTTTTTGGACGACTGAGACGATAATGTCCTATCAATCACAAGGTAGCCCTAAGTCCTCCACCAATTTATCATCGATTTGACTGTAAATGAGACCAAAATGAACATCTTGCCTCATTAAAAGAGACTTAAAACTTGCGACTGACACCATAAACCCATTGGTAAAATGTCTACCGAGGTAACAGATCAAGTGAGAAGTAGAGTCATTTTCTCATAGACTTCTGTACAGTCTGACTTCTTTTTTGCAACCAGTGGTGTCGCCCCCTGCTGGCTGTTAGAAAGAATGCAGCTCACTTGCACTGGCCTCACTTTCAGACCCGGTCTGTGAGTGATGCCAGTCCAGTGGTGCACTCAGTATAAAGGATGAGGTCAGACAAATCACAGACGTTATATGTTGATTAATAAAAGTTCACAACCTCTTATATTCATATTTTGCTTAATTTTTGTCTTACATCTTTCAACCAGCTGATAAGTGATCACAGTCAAAAAAAAAACTGTTTTGCAAGTGTGTTAAACACTGATACACTGAAAACAGTTCACGTGATCATAGTCAAAACTTCACAACTGTCGATTTTTGTCAGTCCTTCACTGATGTCTCCCTCCAAAAGGAAGCTGGAACTCTGCAATTTTAATTATAATCCAGCTAGACATGTTGTGAACCCAGTGTGATGTGAATAAGGTTGTTGTCAGACACACACACACACACACACACACAAAAAACATCTGTCAACAGTTGCTTTTGAATGCAACAAGTCAAATCTAAGTGAATAAAATGTATTGCGGCAAAACAGGACTAAACTGAGGGCCGCTGTGGGCTAACCTCGGGGTTAGGCTATCTGTCAGACGCACGTTCCAAGAAACCACTCCAAAGCACTTCTGTCAGTAGCGATGGCGTGTATTCCTTTCATCCAGCAGGTTCAAGTCCATATCCAATCAAAGAACAAAGGCGACACTAACAGACTGCACAAAATATAATACGTGGTTGCGGTCAACAGAAATTACGACTACCACCGGGCTCACCCCACTTCCTCATCCATTCATCCCAACAAAAACACTGTGAATCAGTAGGTGCACTTTTTAAAACCTCATGACACACACACACCCACCACCCAGGTGCTGATGCTGTCACCTGTCACCTAATGAATGAATATCGAATACGAATATGGCTCCGACAAAATGTAATAAATTCAGAAATAAATTCTACTTTTAGCTTATACGTGGCCCTTCAATGACTTTTAGGGGCAGATGAGTGTTGATCATCCTGACAAATAAAACCATGCATCATGACAATAGGATCTCCAGTCAAACTGTCAGTCATCATGATGCAGAGAGACCTGTGTTTACCACGGATTAGAGTAGATGTGAATGTGACTGACAATAGCTGTCACTACTTCTAACATGCTCCCCTGTGAAGCACGTTTTCTGATCAGGCTCGATATCAAAGTGTGGGTATTTCCCAGAGGAGCCTTTGACACACCTGGCTAACAGGACAAAAACCTTTTCTTGCAGAGTAAAAGCTCAAACACTCTTCCCTCCAACCTTTTCAGTGTCCCTCCATCCATTCCCTCTCTGTCAGCTCATTCATTTACAGAGAGACAATCTTATTGCCCTCTCAAGACAGTGGTTGTGCATCATAGCTGACAGCAAGCCTTACTTCCAAGTGTGTGTGTGTGTGTGTGAACATGCCGCTCACCATGGCAGAGATGAAGAGCCGTAACGATCTTCTACTAATCACAGCGGAGTCGGAGATCTGAGCTATTGAGCCGCTGCGATCGTGGAAGGAAAACCCCACTGCAGCAGTTACACCTCCTTGTTTTCTTTCTTTGATCTGCGTCTTGTTTATTCACATGATCAATTCAATCAGATTACGGGAATACTGTGCAACCTCTCATGTAAACACTGTAATTACTGTAATTATATTAAACTCCTAATCTGTGTAAACATAACCTGATTAACGCAGCCAGACAGCTTTTAAGCAATAGCGCAATAATTAGGTCTTATTCGGGCATATTTCTTGCTTTGGATTTGTGTGTGCAGCAGCTAAACTAACAAAAGTCTCGTTATCTTCTGTCTCCTATTTTGGAGAATTGTTTAAAAAAAAAAAAAAAAAACGTGCAGGCCAACACGTATATATTAGGATGTGACAAAACTTATCTTCAACATATACTGAACTGGTTTCCCCTGGTGCGACTCAGACAAAGCTTTTAATCTTAAAAACATCAACAGCAGCCGCATTAATGGGAATTGCGCCAGGTTGAGATAAACAGGACTTATCCTTTAAAGGCTCTGCAGACCCGCACAACTAATCTGATTAGATATGTAATCAGGTTGAGGAACCAAT